CTATACATCCAGAGCGTCCCCTGGCATCTGCTGGTCTCACCCTGGGGGGCAGAGCGCGGACAGACACTGGACACTTGATTGTCCCTGAGCAGCTCAGGACTTTGGCCCCACTCACAGGCAGCTGACCCCAGGGCCATGGTTCACGCTGCAGGGGTGACCGTCTTATGTCAGGATTATGGGCTTGTGCACAAGGCCGCCACAAAAAGAGCTCCAGGAGGATTTTGTATTTGGAACACGCTGGATGTGTGAAGCTGCGCTGGGAATAAGCAGAGGCTAATCTGATGTACTGCTAAAGCAAGACTGGGCCTGGCAAAATGCACACACACACACACACAATTTCCATGCTTCTTCAAAATCTGTAAATATATTGTGTTGTCTACTATTTTACAAGTCAAATGATTAGTCTCATACAGCCTCCTTATTGGGTCAAATATCTTAATATTTTTGTCATCAACACACATGGAATAACCAGCTTTAGCCTCAGATTTTCAAACACAGATATAGCAAATGTATTACCTGTTCCAATGACGAATCTTGTTTTAAGATCGTCAAAATATTGTCTAGTTGATTTAGTCCAATTATAAAAATGTCTACCTTTTTTGATATTATAGATTGTGGGTATATTACTATACCCACAATCTATCAGCTATCATAATACTGTGCAAAAGTAGGCATCCTTTGGGGAGATACTTTGAAGAGGATGGCGAGCAACTGGTAGCTCCTGTGCTATAAGTTAGAGACCCATGTCACAGTCTAATATAACAAAACAAATGCAGGCCAGCTTTTCTTTTATCTGTTGTTTTGTTGAACATGTCCTTGAAGCTGTTGGACTTATGTAACAGTTATCGAACTACTCAACAGTTGATCGTATTGGTTCATTTGAAAAAACAGACAGGTGTCATAGTTGAAAGTGAGTGTATTCCAGTCTCCATAATAGAACGGCAAATACAATAAAGTCACAGTTAAACATTTTCATTAAACTAGTCTAGTTCTGAAAGAAGGCTTAGAGTAATTGTTACCACTGTTGCTTTAAATAGAGTATGATGTCATGCAGTCATTAGCACGGGACTGCGAAGTGGGAGTAGACAGGGGAAAACAGACAAACGCAGTGATATTTGAGTCCTTTTCCATTCATCTACAAGTCTGTTTGTTGGACTGCTTTCACTGGAAGGTGAGCATTAGACATACACGAGGTCAATGGTCAAAGAGCTATGAATATTCTGGGATGTAACTTGGACTTGGGTTTGTTCCAGCGAAACTTAAAAAGAATTGAGGAATTGTGAGAAATTGTGAATCTGAGCTGTTCAGAACCAGCTTTACAAACACAATGAATTATAACAATATGTTTTGTTTTGCATTAAAACATGTTGTGCATTGAGTTATTAAAAGGTTAGCAGGTCTTTTCTGACTGCCGCTGTCAGACTGTACAACAAACAATGAGGACTAATGAACACTGCCAACTTGATCTCACGTGTCATGCATCGGTGCAATGTCCTTAACTTATATCAGAATGTGCAATAACCACATGTCACTGTCACTTTACTGAGTCCCTGTCTCCCAGAGCCTCATGCTGCTAATGTACAGATGTAAACATACGGTTTCTAATGTACAGACGTAAACATACTGCTGCTAATGTACAGATGTAAACATACGGTTTCTAATGTACAGACGTAAACATACTGCTGCTAATGTACAGATGTAAACATACGGTTTCTAATGTACAGATGTAAATATACTGCTGCTAATGTACAGATGTAAACATACGGTTTCTAATGTACAGAGGTAAACATACTGCTGCTAATGTACAGATGTAAACATACTGCTGCTAATGTACAGATGTAAACATACTGCTGCTAATATACAGATGTAAACATACTGCTGCTAATATACAGATGTAAACATACTGCTGCTAATGTACAGATGTAAACATACTGCTGCTAATGTACAGATGTAAACATACTGCTGCTAACATGTACAGATGCTAACATATTACTGCACTTTTCTTGCACTAGAATACAGTACTTCACACTTTCCTCTTATTTTGCAGGGGCCCCTTTAACGCTGCAATAATTAACCCACATACAATGGAACCATGTAATAAAAAAATCCATCAAACAGTTTGTTTCTGTCACAATTGATTTTACTTATTTCAGACAGAAGAGGACCACTCTCATTCAGCCAATCATTTCTCAGTCCAAAGCGTCAAATAGTGACTCTCAAGGCTTTTTCTTACACAGAAAATAACATAATTTCTAATAAGACGAACAAGAACGTGGGTCGATTTCTCAAAACTCTTTCTGCTGGGAAAACATATCACTAACGCAGTTCAAGCTTCTTTACACTCTTAGTTTTATTAGAGGAACACACAACCTTAAAGATGAAGATGGAATAATAAACTTTCTATATTCAGTCTATAGCAGCAGCATTTGACCCTCTCCACGACACACATCATTCCCCTCTGGATGGACAGCAGCTTGTTGGTGCTCGGTGGACCATTGCTGAAATGGAAGCACACATGCCCACGAGCAGGTAAGGAGCCCAAAGTCACAGTGAAGGACATGTGGACCCGCTGTAGTCATTTGTAATGCACGGATAGCCCGGACGCAATATATTAGAACCGCTGCAAATTACATCCATACGCCACATAATGTATGCAGCTCACGGGGTGGGCACCAGCATTTCCATAAATATAAAATAATTCCGAACCGTGTGTACGCTTATCAATGTAAATGTTTTGGTGTATTCTGTATGAGGACTTGGAAGTTTATGCGAAGCAAATTTGAATGAGCGGTTGTGAAGTATGTAAGTAGGACAGGCAAAAGCTACTCTTGGTTAACAGTAATTTAACTGAATCTTTGTTTGGGCATCAAATCACGGACTCCATTTTTCGTCTTTATTTTGCTTTTCCAGCATAATCAATAACTTATAATGAGAACTGTAAAGTATAAATACTATCACTGATGAATGCTGATTCTTTTTAATCTTGTCTTGACTGTTCCAAAATTATCATTTGTAGAATTCTTACTGTACTTATTAGTGCAGAGTCCCATGGTTAGGGATATACATTCTTTTTAAAATACATAAATATAAATGAATATTATCCATCCATCCATTTTCTTCCCCTTAATCCATTTCTGGGTCGGGTCTCATCAGTGGGAGTCGGTGGAGAAGGTCTCATGATGGGCTCAAACCCACGACCTTCAGGCTCAAAGGCCAATGCTCTACCAACTCAAGCACTGTCGCCCCAAATAAATAATAAATAAATTAAAATCATGCAAGTCATAGGTTTTTTGTTTTTTTCCCCCTCATCAATAACGAACCTGGAATTGTTCTTAGATCCATATACACTAGTATAGGCAAATTTGCATAAATCTACACAATGAAATCTCCCTACCCTTTCTGTTCAAGAGTTTATTATTTAAACTTTTTACATTTTGATAAAATCCCCAGGTTTTGATGTCATAAACAGTTTTGAGAATTTCACCAATCAAATGACATATTTACAATTGTGTGCCTTCGAATATACGGCACGTGGTAATGTTCATCAAAATAGCCAATTGTAATGTTTCACTTATAAATAAATAAAATAAATGAATAAATATAATATCTTCTGCTAGAGGTGCGTCTTTCATTAATGCACATATTGTCTTCAACCTTGGACTAAATTAAGAAAAATAATAAAGATTTGAAAGTTAGGTGCCCCAGCTTTAAGCCAACATGAAGAACTACTGTATGCATATAGTATGATACACCTTATGCAAGGATGTGTGTTCCCTGTAATCTTTTCTCCCCTAATCCAGATCATACATAATAATACCATCACCAGTAGATAGTCCAATAACCTCATGGCGCATTCCCTTCACAACTAACGTTTCCATAAATATTAAATAATCACTTTCCATGCGTATATCTATGTACTTATGTAATCATTTCCATCCAAATCAGTCCAACGTGTCACTGCTCTCCACGTGACGGAACAATCGAACAGAGGTTTTCTCTAATAATTGTCTTAATCAGGGAGTAATGGATGTGGAGAGGCCCCGCATGCGGCTGATTAGACGCATCGCGGCTGCTGTCTGCGGGTGAATCCCTCTGTGTGTTTAGACGGAGGCAGACATGGTTTTAGGGACTTGCTCATTATAGTTGTCAAATAATGGACCTGAATTAACAGTTACTATTTAACTATTTGAAATTATGTTGAACTAAAATCTTTTGAATTAAAAACTCAATTCACAATTCAATAATAGAATGTTGTATTGCTTTCATTTAAGATTCAACAAGGAACAACTGGTTTGGGATTTTTTTAAAGAAATATTTACTTTTAGGGATTACCAATTAATCAGTAATTTTCACCATAAAATATATTTGTTATACAGTTAAGTTGATTATTCAGTCAGTCAATCCATCAACACATTTATTTAAAACACTCTGACCGCTCTCACTTTATTTAACCCTTAAATAACACATAGTTCAAATGCAATAGATGGGTTCAGGATCAGAACTAGAAAATTAGGTATAACATGTCAATGTAGTTTATTCAGTATCAAGATAACACATTATTTACCCATTTTTAGTAGCATTAAATATGCTTCGGTTCATGACGTGGACGCCTCAAACTCCTGCACTTATTGAAGCAGCAGATCGTAATTAACGAGTATCAATACAAAAAATATTGAGATGAATCTTTTCACTGCTACTAATGACTGCACTGTGAGGCTGTTTGAGTACCTCTGAAAGCTGTTAAAATGAAAAGCTGAATAGATCCTCTTGTTTGTTTCTGTCCCTGCACCAGCAGCACTTCTGTGGTGCATAAGAAGGGCATGTTTTCCCCTGCTCATGGTGTGACAGCATGATCGACCGCATGTGCATTTGTGCGCGCCACGGTAAAGCCGCGCTGGTAACCGCGAGTTTAATCAAGTGTTCGTATGTGCGGCGCCCGCTGTAATCACACTGACTTTGTTCTCCCAATTAGAGCTTTAATCCATCAGCTGGCTGTTGCTATGGCGCTCAGCTCTGCAACCAATGGGAGCACGAAGACGCCCGAGCCACCTCCTGACGAGGAAGGAAACGAGAGGAAAACAATTTCTCCAATGGACTTTGATCAAACAGACGCGTACGCTGGAGACAGACGGCTTAAAAATATAGCACACATGAGTCATTAAGATTGAACAGAGGAAATGTCACAGTTGGCCTCGTGCAAATAGATTATAATGTGAAATGACTCACACAATGGTACTAGAAGTGTCTGGATTTAATTTTTCCATCAAGTTTCAATTTATACAGACTGTAAACAGAATATTTTTGTTCAATATTTGAGATATCACCACATCCTGTTATGCTATGACTCATTTACTTTCATTTCAAGTGGAAACAAAAATCAAACTCTTTCTATGGAAAATAGAAAGCAGTGTAAAAAAAAGGGGGTGTGGGGGTAGCTTTAACAATTCCCCTTTCAGCCTAAGGAACAATTCACTCATAATAAAATAATAAAATAAAACCATAATAAAAACCTGCTAAAGTTATTAGCAGGCACAAGCAGTTATGTTTGTGCGGTTATCCCTCTCTAAGTTCGGGTCTTCTACCAGAGGCCTGGGAGCTTGAGGGTTCTGCGCAATATCTTTGCTGTTCCTAGCACTGCACATTTCTGGACAGATTTCCAAGGTTGTTCCAGGGATCTGCTGTAACCAATCCTCCAGCTTCGGGGTCACTGCCTAGTAGCTCAGTTGATCGAGCATTGGCCTTTGAGCCTGAAGGTCATGGGGTCAAGCCCACCACAAGACCTAACCAAACGTCTCCCACTGATGTCTGCTGTCATTGTTTCCTTGGGCAAGACACTCAACCCCAATTTGCCTGAAGCCCCTGCTGATAGATCAAGGCTATACAGTCACAGACAGAGCAGCCATCCTCCACCTGCAGGAGGATCAGTGAGGGGCTGGTGCCACCCCTCAGGCCCAGGAATGCATTGTATATTAACGGCTTATTAACCGAGCGCGAGGTCTGTATGGAGAAATATCAGACCGCGGCCTTAACGTACAGACCGAGCCGTGGCGAGGTCTGTGCAAAAAGGCCAAGGTCTGATATTTCTCTGTACAGACCGAGCAAGCAAGGTTAATAAATGTTTTATTATATTACTCTCGTCTGTGTCTTTACCAATGCTTTTGAGATATTTGTGAAGTATGTTCATGTCCGACTTGGTTTTGTGTGATACGCGCTGCGGACAGATTGTCATGGTAACGGTCCGTGGAAAGATATCAAATGTGATACGCGCTGTTAAGACCAATTGTCATGGTAACGGTCCGAGATGGGAAAATATCAGACCGCAAATCAACCAATCAGAACTCGCGTACGGTCCATGTCATATAATAAATTAAAGTAGCATTATGTAAGATTTTTATGTCAAGTCATCCTTAAAGGGCCCTAATCTGTCAACAGGCATTAATAAATCATGCTCTTTTTGAATACTTCTTTAACAGTAGTTCAGCCGAGATATTTGAAATTCAAAATTAGTTTTACAGCAACTAAATCTTGTTATTGTTTTAATTTTCATGTCCCGCCCTCCACTGTTTTACCAATCAGGAAGTCCGTGATCCAGGTTGCCAGAACTCACAGCATCGAGCTAATCTCATTGGTAAAGTAACATGTGGAAAGTTCTTGTAACATGTAAAAAGGTGTTATGATTCTCAAATCATTAATGACAAAACAAGGAATAAAACAAGGATTTCTATCTTTGTGAAAAAGATGTTGGTTATAGATATTGTTGTTGACAAAACTCTTTATTCAGATATTATGGTCCAAGCTGGATTTGTCGGCATATTTGGCAACCTGAATCAAGGAGAATGTAGTACCACTTTTGGCCAGATTTTTTCATACTGCTCCTATAAAGAAATACCACAGATTTATTGGTTCTACAGTTTCAGGAAGTCAATGTTTGTGTGAGAACATTTTGTATTGTTTCCATTATATTTACTTAGATGACAAATATTGTCACATACAATGAAGATAAATAAAATAGTCGGTGTGTGCTTTATTACGTCATACGTGACAGTCACGCAGTTGTAACCAGCGTAATTTCTGGAATTTACAGGAAACCTATGGAGGCAATACTTTTGTTTTAAAAGACAAAAAACAGCTCTGAATAGGACCGAATACTGTAAGAATTCATCATAGCGTGATAGAATATCTGAAATGAGTGTGAAGCACTACTGCTTCCAGCCAATCAGAGCCCTTCTTTGCAGGTCACATGTGGAGCTGTTGGAGAAATGATGATTCCTCTCATCAGTGGTTCATATAATTAAAAGCTGTGGCCCGAGAGCCAGGAGTGTATTACCCAGTGTGTTTAAAGTTAATTTTCATTTTTCACAGTATATAGACCTTATTACTACTATTTAAGACTGATATTGAAACATGTCCTTTTTTGGACTCCATCTTTATTACCTCAGAGAAACTGTGGCATATGTTTGAATTAAAGAAAACAAATAATTTCTGGTCAACAATTTTAATGAGACTGTGTTTTAGACTGTGAAATAATATTGTAAATATTAGAAAATATATAGTCTGTGTGTAACTCCTCCCACACACCTCCTCCAGCTCGTCCCCCGGATGTGCTGGATGAGGTGTGTGTAGATAGGGAAGTCAGGGCATCTCTGCTTAAGCCGCGTTCAGACCGGATCATGTGTTGCGTCTGCTTTCAATGCAAAGTCAATGGTGACGTGCGTTAGAGCGTCAAAACACATGTACCTCTCGGCACGCACGCACGGACCGCGCAGTACAGACGCACGGACTGCACGGGAAAGTCAAAGGAGATAAACTTTGCTCAACCTTTCCTCGGGACGTTTGTGCAGCGACCAATCAGAGAGCCGCAAAGTGGTCACGGGGACATTAGCGGTCTGAGCGAGCAGACTGAACATACTGTAAACAGCCAAAACAGGAGCTACACCACGACTAAACCAGGGTTGACAATGGGGAACACAGTGCTTGTGAATATATGCGTTGTCATGCTCCCGTGACTTTATGCAACTGCTTCGAGTGTGTTTGCTGATGCGAAAGTACCGTTTAATAATAAAATAAACTTATTGCGCACCTCCATGAACACATACTACTATTATATAAAGTCCGTGGAAGGTCTCTGAACACAGACACCCTGCCAAGCTGCCTTATTGGAGAAGATCTGTACACGAGAAGCCGCTAGCATAACTCTGTTAGCATCAGAGCCGGCCGGTTACTCCCGGCACTTCCGGCACTGGTCAGGACGTTCTGGTGTGAAGTCCTCTGCGTCTGAAAACTAGAGAATGCGCGTCTGGTGAGCGAGGCTTCAGCGTTTGAGCGTTTGCGGTCTGAACGCGGCATTAGACTGCTGCCCCCTTGACCCAGCAACAAAAAAAGAAGAAGAAAATAGATGGATGCTCCCTATGCAACCACCAAAGGGAGGAGTTGGATTGTTGATATATCAGGCAACACTGACAGGAAACTAGGAACTAGGAACTAAACCAGACCTGAGAGAGCTGAGGACACGCCATTTTAAATTAAGGTTCATGGAAACATTTCCTCTATAACTCTGATAAATTTAGCGCTCCAGACCAGTTAAACCAGACTTGTTGAAACCTATTTTATCAGTTCATTTTTGTACAGTGGTCTGTCTGGCTAATTTCTTCCTTATTCATATCCTGGACTAGAATGGTGGTCGGAGCAGCTTTGATGCTGATGGGCAGGATGCATGAGTGGTCTATACCAGGCTCCTGACCATGGCCTGTTCACAGTAAACAGTTTGGACAGAGCACAGCTGTCTGCCCTGTCCTCAGCCATGAGACCAACACTACATCTGTGGAGAAGTGGCCAGTGCTGGAGGACTTCCCAAAGCCGGCTCACAAAGTAGATAAATGGAGATTACTGTATATTTCATACACTGCCAAGATTCCAGGGGGACAACATTGTACTTAGTTGCCCACAACTTCAAGCAAATCATTTTTAAATGAATTTCAGGTTAATATAAAACAATTGGATTGGAGGTTCCTAAATAACAACAGCAGTTGTTTCAGAGGACTTTATAAAGTTGCCGATTCACAAAAGACTATAGCCACAATAGCAAGCATCATATTCACATGAATGATTCACGTGTGTATTCCAGGTTTTTGTAATCAAAATTCAAACATTGAATGTGGGGATAAAAAGCCTTTTCTGTTCCCCATTTTCCCCATTTTAATGTAATGGCACTCTTTAGTAGTATTGCTTCTGCTAAACCTACATTTATGTCTCAATAGTCCTAGAGTAGAGTGGGTGATGTTGCTGTGCTTCTCATCTCTCTTTTCTTTTGTCACCAATGTTTCACTGTGGAATGTGTTTACAAAGGTCTCCACCTACTCCAATTCCATAGATAATAATGATGCTTTGGTATTATGAAGCGCTTTTCAGGACACTCAAAGATGCTTCAAATGTCATTTTTGACACAACAACAGTTTGGCACTTTACAGTTGCCCCACTGTGGCACCTGGTGTTCCCAGAGGTCACCCATCACAGTACTAACCAGGCCATGCCCTGTTTAGTTTCAGAGGTCTGACGGGATCTGGCTTTGGCATTCAAGTTTGCATAAAGACATAGCCAGGTGTTGAAAATGACTCTATTCTCTGGTTGTAGATTATAAACAATGATATTGACCATACTACGTTAGAGAAGGCACAAAAGACATCATGGTTTGAGGATTTGACACTGATTTTGGAAACAGAGAATTTAGACAAAACATCTTTCTCAACGTTAACATTTCTTCTATTGTTTTGCATTGTATTCCCATTGCCTCTTTCTCACACATTTATTCTCTTTCATTCTGCAGCTTTCTCAGGCCTTCTTTGTGGCGCCCTTTGCCATGTACATGTGGAGATCTTTCCTTCATGTGGGCTTGTGTCTGGGGCAGTTGTAGGAAGCTCGCCTGATTAAGTCTGATCGTCACCAGATGCCTGCTTCACTCAGAGCTCCAGGGCGCAAACAAAAGGTGCAGGCAGCTTGCACAAACACTGGGCTGTTTATAAGAAATCCAATCATTCAAACATCACGTTATCAAAGCAAATATATAACATTTTAAAGTGTCCTCTGAAGGTTACTTTGGACTTATACTTAATTGTCAAACATTTGTGAAGAGTAGCAATGGTTTTACAGCAACAAGTGAGAATATGCCCTAAACTAATTGCATTTTGTGTGTATTACCTTCTCCATTACTGCAGAACATTAATGAAACAAGGCAAATAACCGTCACTTCTGCAGCATGACTGCTTATTTTGTTTTTATTTGAAGTTTATTTAAAAGAGAACAAATAATATTGCCATAGTTTAAGTAATTAATGCCAAGTGGCTAATTTGCAGTCCTGGTCCCTGACACAAAACACACAATAACAGGAGACACATAGACACCAAACATTAGAATATCACAATAAACTTTTTACAGATTATAAACGTTCAAAAGAGTCATTGTTCACAAGTTTGATTGAGCTTCAGCCTTGGCTTGACTTTGTGGTTAAACTGGTTCAGATTGGTTTTCCTGTCTAAAAGTTGTCACTGGTTGTAGCCTCTTGAGTGGTGAGAGCAGATGGACTGAGTTTATTCATCGTAATGCTGAAAAAAAAGCAGCCATGCACTCATAGAATGCTATTCCAAAAGACTTCTTTTCTACATTATTGAGTTGTCACTAATGTGTTTCGTAAGTGAATGGTTTGGATTTTTGTTGACCTCCCTTAGGACAAGAATGCAATTGTGCTATATACTGTTGATAGGCTGTGTTCATGTGACATCACAACACCCTGAAGGTAATACTATCTCATTACATCACATTTATCTGGTGTAGAAAAAACAAATAACTTATTCCAAAGAGCCTATAGTTTGAAATGTGGTGATGGAAAAATCTTTCCAGCCTTTTTAGTTTTGAGCTAATTTCTCAGTAATTCATGGGCCATTTGAACATTTTATTAGCCCAGATATCTGTATTGGCAAATTACACTTCTACCTAAAGTTATTGAACCTATCTACAGTATGTCTATTGTCTTTTTTAGCAGTGTCGCCCCCAGCTCCACCAAAGAAAGTATCCAGAAAGTGAACCAGGACTGGACCCGGTCTGAACCTGGTCGATGTTGCTCGAGGTGAAATTGCAGCGTAGGGGTGAAAACAATCAGTGTTGGGTGTTTTGAACGGTATAAAACCATGTGGAAGTGTTCGCCACCACGCACACACACGCATTCACTTGCGCATACATGCACACACACACACACACACACACACACACACACACACACACACACACACACACACACACACACACACATGGATTTTGTTTACTTTCTTTGGCAATTTACTCAATCAATGAAATGTGCAAGATTCACCAGCACTTCCATGGTCATTTTCGAATAGGATACATTTGTAATCGCAACTCCGCTGGCTTTCCCTGATACTTTCAACAGTAGTGGGGCAAGGGGACATACGGGGAGGGGCAAGGGGCAGAAAGAGACCGTTTCTTCTATCACATCGTTTTAGCTCGATCTAACCCCATTATTTTAACTATATATTTAACAAAGAGTCTTTATAATCATAGATTATCATTACAGAGAATAGATAAGGGTTATGCCCCTTTTGATGAAGACATAATATGAAATATCTACTTTACACTCAATTTTACTATATTATAGTTGTTTTATTCAAAATATCCAAAATAAGTTTACACTCCAAGTTTTCTTTAGACTAGGCCATGCTTGTCCAATATCGTGTCCTGATGACAGCAACTTTGTTTGCCAATTTTCTTTTCTAAACAAATACAATATCTCCACGCATAAAGGGGCAAAGCCCAGAGCCATTTACACACTCTTCAAGTCATTCCATAGTAATTTGATTTCCTCATATTCAGGTATTCTTCATATTAATTAAACACAATGATTATTGGTCTAATTCTGTTGTGTTGTTCCTACGACTTGTGTAAGCATGTGAACTACAATGACTAATCAAAGATTTGTTAGAAATAACAATATTGTATAACTTCTGTTTTCATTTGTAGTCCATAAAACACATTTAGATCAAATAGTTTTCAATGGATGCCATTTGAATTGTGGCATTCACAAACATGCCATCATAAAAATCTTTATTTCTCTATCATGAAACTCTTCCTGACTAACAACATTTTCAAAGACATTGAAAGACTGAATTTCATGCAGGAGCCGATTCTCTCCAGTGAAAACAAGACCAAAATATAAATATGAGTGGCCTATCCTTCACAATAGCCCTGTCTGGCCAGTCCAAAGCAGCTGGCTGTCTGTTGAAATGCACTGGCAAACAAGCACTGCTGCTGTGACGGCTGAGTTCCATCCAGCTCCACAAGCTTTCATTGACAGCTACAGTATAAAGCACTCTGAAAAATGACCAATGCCTAAATTTAGACAAACAAATTGAAGAAACAGCAATGGTTGACTGATGTTTTGTCACTGCACGTTGCAGGGATCAACATCCATCATTTTTGGAGGCCAAGTATTGTCCACCAGTGCAATAGATATTTACTTGAAAGATGAGACGGAGCGTGGTCAGTGGTCCCTCGCCCAATCCCATATAAATAGAAACACTAAAGGCCAGAAGGACTGATTCGTGAGTACAAGGTGTACGTCAGTGGTAGGGAACTTATGACGAGAGAAATGGCATCTCGCCCTCAGATAAATCTTGTCTGACAATTACTAACACAATTAATAATAAATAATTCAGCTGCAGGTTCTGGTAGAAATCACACTCATGATAAACGAGACAACATATCTAAGCACAACACATGGCCATGCTGCCTGGAGCCTCTATTTGTGTGTGGTTTAGCATAGTCTGCATATTAGCTAATTTATACATACACTCTTTTGATGAATAAATAATATAAAGATAATATAGAGAAAGAATAAGTTCAATTCAAATCACTGCGTGTAGATATCTAAAGACGGCAATCAGAGCTGGTCTCAACCACAAGACAGAACTGAATAAACTCCAACCTACAATAGACATCAAAATGTTGTCTATTTGAATCACCATTTTAAACAGAAAATATATCAAACATAATATGCCTAATATTTGATTACTTTTTGCAGTGAACATGGGCTGAGGGTGGGTTTGGTGGGTCTGCTCTAGACAAGACAAAAGCAGGACATAAACACCACTCATCACTTACAATTGAAACCTCTTTTGCTGTTTTCATGAAAATGTCATTTATGTCATGTATGTAAGAAATTGTAAGAAATGCCATGTACGTTTTAATTGCACCATTCATCATTTTACATTTTTTACTAAAAGTAACTTCCAGATTCCACATAGTACCTTTAAGACACCCTGACCCATGCAGGTCCCACTAGACGAACAGCTGCATCAGAAGAGCACTAACGTATACTTTTGATGGACATATTGGGGTCTGTGGTCACCATGGGGAGACTCTCTCAGAAAAGGTTTCTCACACACCACATCTGGGCAGGGTTTAGACATGTGTTCTGCCGTCATTAGAGTGGGCCACCCGCTGTCATGTCGAGCTGTTGGCGCTGGCAATAATTGGCATTAGCATAAGTTAGCCTAAATGTGGGGATATTAGCATTTATTACACCGGCGCCGCAACAGCGTGAGGTCATAACAAACACAAATCACAAGGAGCTCAGTCGGTGAACATGGAGGAATGCTTATTATAGTAGTTATTGAGAATTAAAGCATGTATTTGGAGCTGTGACATTCCAGTTTGGCCAAGTGAGAAGTCTAAAGTCCCATGAATAGACCCCTAACCCTGTTACCCAAATCAAAATCAAAATTGCACAAGATATGGAAAACCGTAAGACGTTATATCTAAAATTACATTCTTAACTTTGAACACACAACTATACAGTAGCATGAGCATATTTAATATAGTCCTTATCACTTGTTACTCTGTCCCAAAATAGTTTGATTAATTCATTCATACAGTCTTATTCATTCACTCCATAGACAGTGGTGATGAACTGCTCCTGCAGCCTCAACTGCCCTGGGACAGACTAACAGTAGTGAGGCAATTAGTATGTGTCATCGGCCATCAGACTCATACTGAGCAATGTGGGTAAAGTTTCAACCGCCCCACTCTGACACCTGGTGTTAGGTCCCCCATTACAACACTAACCAGGCTATGCCCCGCTCAGCTTCCGAGGTCTGCCAAGTTCAGACTTTTACATGCAGATAAGTAATCTAGTAAGTAATCTTTATTTATATACCGCCTTTCACAGACCAGAGTCACAAAGCGGTTTACTATTTGTTATTTTTTGGGCATTTGTCCTCACTCCACACGGAGATGGGAGCGGGGTCGCCGAACAGGAGGCGCATGCCAGACCTATTGTACATGTTTTTAGTGGTAGGGGAAACCGGAGTACCCGGAGGAAACCGGAGTACCCGGAGGAAACCTACGCAGACACGGGGAGAACATGCAAACTCCACTCAGAAAGGCCCTGGTCCGACCGGGATTCGAACCCAGGACCTTCTTGCTGAGACAGAAGGTCCCGATAGATGGTACAGATGCATTTGACACATTCTTAAATTGAATACATGTGTAAATAGAATATATATATATATGGAGCTTAAGCGGAGGTTCAGTATGGTAGACTACCTACGTTATCACACCAGGCTTGACCACGCCTTACTCAGCCTGTCTTAAGCAACTCCCCGCAGCCGTGTCAATCAAGCCAGCGTTTAAGAGCAAAGCAGAGCACAGCTCACCATACGGACTTCAAGCTGCAACCACCTCCTCCCCACCTCCGCCTCAGGATTTCTTCACTCTCACATTCACCTTGCCTTGTTGCCACCACCAGTGTCTAGGCCCCGGGGGATCATGATCTGCACCCAGGCGCAGATCTCTTCAGAGCACGGCCACAGCCGGGGCCTAAGCTCCAAACCAATAAACAAACTCAATCCATAAAATAAACAACTCTTAAACGCATCTCGTCTCTTGTAGTCTCTCCAGGTTGAAATATATATATATATATAAATATAAACACACACACCTTTGGCCCTCTGTGGGCGGTTATCCCTCTCTAAGCTCGGGTCCTCGGCCTGGGAGCTTGAGGGTTCTGCGCAGTATCTTTGCTGTTCATAGCACTGCACATTTCTGGACCGAGATGTCCGAGGTTGTTCCGGGGATCCGCGGTAACCACTCTTCTAGCTTCGGGGTCACTGCCCCGAGTGCACCGATCACCACGGGCACTACTGTCACCTTTACCCTCCAGGCCCTCTCCAGCTCCTCTCTGAGACCTTGGTATTTCTCAAGCTTTTCATGTTCTTTTTTTTCCGGATGTTACCATCACTTGGAATTGCCACGTCTACCACCACGGCTGTCCTCTGCCCTTTGTCAACAATGTCAGGTTGGTTTGCAATTATATATATATATATATATATATATATATATATATATATATATATATATATATATATATATATATATATATATATATATATATATATATATATATATATATATATATATATATATATATATAGCAGCTGGATAGCTCAGTTGGTAGGGCACAGGACTGGGACCTGGGAGGCCAGGGTTCGAATCCCACCGGGAGCACATTAACACCAACATCCAGTGAGGGTCCTTAGGCAAGACCCTTAATGCTACTGCCTAACTCATAACCATGAAGGTACAAATAAGCAATGAGATGCCGGATCAGCCGTCGCCCGGCCAAACAAGGTCTGCGTCAGGTGCTGGGGAACCAGAGCACCTTGATGAAAAGTGGGCTACTGGAACAAGGCGAAAGTGGACGAGATGCGATAACAGGGCTCTGTTGGAATGCTACTACTCGAGTAACCCTGGCCAAAGAGGTTATATGCAGAGAATGTGGGCTGAATGGTTACTTCGAAACCCACAGTCACAGTTGACCCCGAAACAACTGGTAGCTCAATGCTCCAACATCCACAAACGGCAACTGCTATCACAGCTTGAGATTGATGAAGTACAACACATGTATGATGCCACAGTTGCCGAGGTCAGAGGGGAGATCCCACCAACTGCAACTCCCCAACCAGATATTGGGTACATAGCCCCAATGGAACCGATAACGCTGAACGAGGCAGCGA